AAAAAAAAAAAAAAAAAAAAGCCTTTGGGTGAAGCTAAGTAGTTTTTTAAGCTACAGTGCCTATTTTCTAAAAGTTGTATTTTCATGAAATTTTTAAAAAGCACTGTAAAACTTTGAGGTCTGTAAGTAGTGTCCTCGGGCTCAGTAACTTGCTGAGAGAAATTATAAACATCTAAAACACACCTTACTGCTAGCAGCCCTACTACAGTTGGGAGATGTCATGCTGAACATTCTAGTAACTTCTGCTGAATTGTGTGCTCTTCATTTTAAAATATAAAGTCTCACTTAAAATTGTCTTTTAGCACAAGCATAATAAAGGTTGGAAATAGTATATTTTGTGTGTGTGTGTATATATATATATATTTAAAATAATCTAGCAAAGAGCAGATAGATATGTGACAGTTCAAAATGTGTGGCTGTGGGCTCAACGTCTGTAGCTCAGGCGGCTAAGGCGCCAGCCACATACACCAGAGCTGGCAGGTTTGAATCCAGACTTGGCTTGCCAAACAACAATGTCAACTACAACGAAAAAATAGCTGGGTGTTATGGCGGGCGCCTGTAGTCCCAGCTACTTGGAAGGCGGAGGCAAGAGAATTGCTTAAGCCTAAGAGTTGGAAGTTGCTGTGATGACATGGCACTCTACCCAGGGTGACAGCTTGAAGCTCTGTCTCAAAAAAAAAAGTGTGGCTGTGGAAATTATTTTTGAATGTCTTTACTACAAATATAAAAAGAGTGGGTCCTTAAATCCTATGTGGTCCAAAGGATTATCTTTTTTTTTTTTTTTTTTGAGACAGTCTCACTCTTTTGCCCTGGGTAGAGTGCTATGGCATCATAGCTCACAGCACTCTTGCCTAGGCCTCCAGAGTAGCTGGAACTACAGGCACCTACCACAACTCCCAGCTAATACACACAGGGTCTTGCTCCTGCTCTAGCTGGTCTCCTGAGCTCCTGAACTCCTGGGCTCAAGCAGTCCTCCTGCCAGGGCCTCCCAGAGTGCTAGGATTACAGGTGTGAACTACCACACTGGCCTCAAGGATTGTCTATTAGACCTGTGTTAAGTGTAACATCCTTTTTCTTAAAGTCTTTAAAGCAGGTATCCTCAAACTACAGCCCACAGGCCACATGCAGCCTGCCTAGGACATTTATCTGGCTCGCAGGGTGTTTTTGCTGTCACTGTGTGTCCTGCTTAGTAGCCAACTTGTCCTGGGGCCTGCAGTCCGGCCCTCCAATGGTCTGAGGGACAGTGAACTGGCCCCCTGTTTAAAAAGTTTGAGGACCCCTGCTTTAAAGGATGGTTTCTGGATGGTTGTGGTTACATTGTCTGTTCCTCTTTTCCTCGGATTTGTCCTTCGGAGCATCAAAATAACAAATGCTAGAATGTGCAGTTTGGGATTTCTTTTTCCCCTTAATTCCAGTAAAGACTCATCTTGTGGAAACATTTTCCTTTTGTGCTCTTTTTCCTTTAATGAAATAAAAAGAAACAAGCATCATTAATTATAAAATCTTAATTGTTGAGCACTTTGGGTCTTTAAATGTGCCTAGAGATATAACTGAATTCTCCAAAACTCAAAGAAATCATCACTGGGCAAAATGCCTGTAGTTTTAAAAGAAACTGACTCACAGCATTCCTTTTAGAAAGCACACTCTGAAATTGAATACCAAATCTTTTGTTTTTTAAAATTTTGCACAAGTTTTAATCAGAAAACACTGGTGATTGTCATTCACAACTTGGAAGTCTCCACTAATTCTTAAGTATGTGGGGTTATACACAGACTCCTTGGCTAGTCTTTGGGATTGCTGCTCCATTGTTGGCTCCATCCTGTTTCTTCGGCATCTCTGATTTCTTACAAAAAGTTTGCTTTAAGGCAAACTGCTCTACTGTTTGTTCCTCAAACATTGTATAGTCATTTCTGGCTTTTAGCCTTTTATGCTCTCAACTGTGATAACTGTTATATGTTCTGCCTACACAAACACTGCCAAGCCTTTTAAAGTCAACTGTACACCTTCTACAATTATTTCAGGCCATGTTAATTTCTTTCACTTTCCTAAAATCACAGTTTACTTTCTATTCTCATTTTTTCTTTTTCTTTTTTTTTTTTTTGAGACAGAGTCTATGTCACCCTCAGTAGAGCGCTATGGCATCACAGCTCACAGCAACCTCAAACTCTTAGGCTTAAGTGATTCTTTTGCCTCAGCCTCCCAGTAGCTGAGACTACAGGTGCACACCACAATGCCCATCTGTTTTGTTGTTGTTATTGTTTAACAGGCCCTGTACAGGTTCAAACCCACCAGCCCCTGTGGTGCCCTAACCACTGAGCTACGAGCACCGAGCCTCTATTCTCATTGTTACCATGTTTCCCAAGTAAACTGGAAGCACCCCAGGTCTTTTGAGTGCCCCCCAACGGATAGCACACATTTGCATACATTGTAAAATACTCAGAAAATATTGGTTAGTTAAGTGAACAGTAATTCTATCAGTGTATTCCATATAATGCCTCTTATTTTTATCCTTATAGGAAGGTTTTCTTCTTGGGGAAGTGAAAGGTGAAGCCAAGAATAGCATTACAGATTCCCAAATGGATGATGTTGAAGTTATTTATACCATTGGTGAGTCACTTATTTCTTTTTTTTTTCTTTTTTTTGAGACAGAACCTCAAGTTGTCCCCTTGGGTAGAGTGCCATGGCAACACAGCTCACAGCAACCTCCAACTCCTGGGCTCAAGAGAGTCTCCTGCCTCAGCCTCCCAAGTAGCTGGGACCACAGGC